CGAGTGAAGCTGATGCCCAGGAGGATAGAGTGATACACGCCGGAAGTAAGGAAGCAAATGATTAACCAGTCGGCGGTAGTGAAGAAGAAGTCCTCGCGGTGATGTTAGTAATCATGACGACGATAGCGGAAAACTACCTACCTGGCCGCCAAGACTAAAATCAAGTGCGGAAAGAGAGCAGAAAAAACCCTTCGCAGTATTCTGAAGGTAAATGTAAAGGCGGCGAAGAGCAAAAAACACCGTAAGCTGACGCGAGTGGAAAGGGGAAGACGTGAAGTAAGCTGGCTAAGTTTCTTGACTCCGGCGTGGCGGCGGAAATAAGGAACAAAGAAAAGAACTGGCTGGTTGGCTGCTAATACGTGGCAGCTGGTAAAATGGGGAGGGGGCAGGGAGGAGGGGGAAGGGAGGAGTTCCCCGCCCGTGCAGCATGTTGGTTGGGGGGCTGCTGATGCTATTGCCACTGCCGCTGGCTTACTAGGGTGCGTGTTTGGGAGGACGGGGCGGTGGAGGTGGGGCTGGTGCCGGTACGGCTCGGGTGAGGTGACGTGAGGTGAGGTGGGGTGGGGTGAGACCTCCCTCACTGCCTCCCGTGTCCCATTACTTCTATGGGGGGTTCCGGTCCTCAATGCCCCTCAACGTCCCCCCCGCGAGGTCCCCTTGTGCCCTCACGTGTCTTCGTAACCCCCTTTGCCCCCCCCTGCCTGCCCCACCTGCCTGTCCCCGGGCGGTGTAGAGAACGGAGTCACCGGCAACCGGGTGTACCGAGAGCTCTCGAAAATGAACGATCTGGATAAGACCGCCACCGCCAGATCCACCTACCCCCACCACCACCACCACCATCACCATGGGGGTGGGAGTGGGGGTGGTAGCCGGCTGTTTGCGGATGCTCTCGAGCTATGCAGGGAATGGCGGGTGCTGGAGGCGCTGTTCCCAAGGCTGCAACAGGTGTGTGTATGTATGTATGTATGTGTGTATGTATGTATGCATGCGCGTGAGGGTGAATGCGTGTGAACGGGTGCGTTGTTTCTAAAGGAAGCTGCGTGTCTATGTGGTGCGTGTCGTACGGCCGTACGGGGTTAGGGGTGTGAATGTGAATGATTTCCTCCAACCCACACGACCACCGCGTGCTCTCACCCACCTGCCAAAACACCTCCAACGCAACACATACACACACACACATCACATGTTTTCCAACCTTCCCATCCCCCACGCTGGCTCCTGGCTCCCTCCGACGCGTGCTCCTCTCTAAGCCTCTTAGCCTTCTTCCCCATCCGCTCTCCTCTCCCCTGGACTTCCCGCTTTTCCAGTCCTTAACCCGCACTCATTCCCCCCAATTCCCCCCTCCCTCCCCCCTCCCCCACACACGTGTAAACCCCAACCCCCGGGGTTTCACCCCTCACCTGCCCAGGAGCACCTGGAGCGGGTCATTTCCACCATCATTCCCGCCCTCCCCCAGGACCTGCCCCTGGAGCTCAAGCTGTCATGTCTGGTGGCGGTGGGGCCTGGGGGTGGGGGGGGAGAGGTCATGCCGTGGAACCTGATCGAGAAGTACGACCCGGTAGGTGACGGCGGCAGCAGCAGCAGTCCCGCGTGGATGCAGTGGATGCAGTGCTGTGGATTGTGGCGGTGTGCGACTCTCTTTCTCATAACTCCTCCCTAACCCTCCACCCTCCCGCACTAACCAACCAACTAACTATCTAACTAACTTCTTTGGGCATCCGCAAACATTTTCTCCTTGGAGCCATGCACTATTTCATAGAATCCTCCTCTCCCCCCTGTTCCTATTTCCTACCATCCATCCATTTCCCTCCATACGTCGCTACTCCCCC